TTCCTCGGATACAGTCTGAATCTCAAGCAAACATACTTCAAAACAGGTGCTGGAGAGTATTTGGAAATAATAACCCGAAGGGCCTAGCACAACTGCGCCTTGTACCCTTGAGACACTCAGTTCAGAGCTTGTAAGGACGCAGTGAAAAGAGGTGATTTCTGATATCCGGATACATCAGCTTGTCATGACACGAAAGTGGTTCACTCGGAACTTCTTTTAAAAATATCACAACAGTTACAACAACATTACCTCAACCGTCTTCTCAACCATCGTAGCATTATCGGTATTGTCAGGTACACTTTCTTCAGATTCACGTGAAAGAACCGAAAATCTTCGTTTTCGATCAAAATCGATATCGGTACTTTGGACATGCTTCGGGAAGAAACGCTCACTCAGTTGGTGGTAATATCCAGACCTGCATTATCCAATCAGTCTTGCGTAAGTTATCTAACACTATTTTTACATTTTTCCTCTGAGAATTTATGAAAATTACTCTTGAGAGTATGACAGTCTTCAAATGAGTTCCGGATAGCCAGGAACTGTTAGTTAAAGCACAGCATGCTCTGCACCAGTGAGAGTGGACGGATCGGTAGCGTGAAGGAAACAAAAGCGCCAGTGAAAATGGTACACAAACAGTATTATTTTGCGAAAAGAAGGAGAAGCAATGTACCGCCACTATCAGGAGAAAGCGCAGTTACCAGCACAGCAATATCATCGGACTGCGCTGATGCTACGAAGGTATGCAGCAACAAAACCGTTGCTCAAGGAAGCGCCAGAACTGAGGAAGACAGTACCTCTTGATTTCTTCATGAGAGCGAGGGGCAGGCCCAATCTGCGCCGGCGCTTGGCGATCCTCTTCTTCCATCATTAACTGAAGCCATTTGACATTGCTGTGCAGCCGCTGAAGATTTTTTTGTGCTTCACGTTCTTTCAACTCCAGCAGCAGCTCACCTCCCCTGCAAACTAATAAACTTTTGCGAATCCGCATTTAATCCTTACGAGTAATGTTCGAAACTTTCAAAACGGATGCAAATTTTCCTTTCAGTCAAATACCTGCAGAAACGCAACAAGTGAATTTCCTCTTTTCATGAAGCACCAAAAAGTCACAGCTTCATTTTTAAATCTGGAGAAAGAGAAAAGAAAACTGGGCAACGCACAGGCTGCCCGTGCGAAGATGCGTTTTTTGCACAGTTCCCAGCAGTTTTTGTCGCTACCGGCATCGGTTTTTTGGCAAATCCCTCCAGCTAAACAAATTAAGACTGGCCGCCAAAACTGGCAGGAAACACTCCCTTAAAATTTCAGTTCTCTAGCATCTCAGATTCCCGAGTTATAAATTTATGCGGGAAACACTTTGGCGGGCCCGTACGCGGGCACCACGCTTACCCGGGGGTTGGGTTTGAGCTCAATAGTATATACTTGGATGGGGAACACCTTAAAATTTCAGCTTTCCAGCTTTCCTGGTTCGCGAGTTATCAACTTACCCTAAAAAAATTTTGGCGGGCTCTTACGCGGGTAC